GAGATGCAAGGCACTTACTTGCCAGCCAAGGAAGGCCCACAGCCGGCAGGCAGCCCCCGCGGTCCCTGCACGGCGTCCAGAAGCCACCGGAGGTGTGTCGGAGCACAAGGCTTGCTTTCGAGCGCAGCCGGACCCTCGCGGTCTCCTCCTGTTTTGCCCCAGATCCTGGCATGGCAACATCTGGTGAGAACGGTGTCCAGGCTGTTGTGTTTCCCCTTCTCCGGAGCTCCGCGGTTTAGGCATCTGGCGGAGCCCGTGGTTTTAGTTTCAGTCGGTCTGTTTGGAAGGGACCACCGGTGCGCCCCGGGATGGCCTGGCCTGCCGCGGGAGCTCTCCTGCTGTCACAAGAACTTCACTCAAAATTATATTTGGTACATAGGCAGAGGCCCGCTGGAAGCAGGGAGCTGAAGTGCCCTGTGGATTCCAGAACGGTTGTGCTCAAAGCCTGTGATGAACCCGGTCTCAGATTGTGGGAGTGTGCCTTGATTGATCTTTATTACGATCACTGACCAGCAGATGTATTCAAATATTAGTATAACACGAACATACAATTAAACGTATACAACCTATTACTATATGACTAAATATTATAGAATCTCCATAGTTTTCATTTAGAACATTTGCCACCCTCTCAGTCATATCTTATGAGGACATGAGAAACAGCCTGTTCAGTGGTTGATCCCAGGCTGTGGGACTCTTTTCGATGGGTGGCCCCCTCCTTCATGCCTGCCTTGCCTGCCTGCTGTTTGGCAAAGACCTTTCTCTTCAAGGCAGGATTTTAACAACTTAAGGGACTGCTTTGGGCAGGCTTTTAATGTAGAATGTTATATTTCTATCATTATTTTTTTTCCTGTGATGTACCTTTGTATTGCTTTATCATATCATTGTGACACTAGTATTCTGAATTATTTCGGTTTTATCTGTGGCTCTTTTTAAAAACCATTTGTAAACTGCCTTGGGTCCTCTAATTCAACACAAAATTGATATAATAAATAAAGTTTGAAAAGATATTAGTGCCCGTGTAATTAAAAACTACAGTATAGTGGTTTGTGACAGTAGTGGTTAGTCCTATGCATCAACCAATTTCTGTTTCTACAGCCAGAATCCAAGGAATGAAAAACACGGTTCCAAAGAATGATAAAAAGAGAAGAAAACAGCTCTTAGAAGATGTTGCCAAGTTGGAGGCTGAGTTGGAACAGAAACACAAAGAAGAACTAAAGAAACTAAAAGAGGCATTACCTGAACAGAATAAAGTATGTGTTAGGTAAACGTTATTTTCAAAGTCCCATGGACATGCTTTTATTCTTGGCCTTATGCAGAATATTCCATGAAACTGTATTGAGTATTTGTAAGTAATCAGTGCTTGATTTCTACTTATGAAATCTACTTTCAATGCTAAGAATCTTGTCGTATTTTAGTTCTGCTTGTGATAAACATTGTTTCACAGAGCTATAATAAATGAAAGATAATTAAAAATTCTCCCAACGTGCTGCTGCTCATTCAAGTTCCCAGGGCAAATAGATGTTTCTTGCTACCTTATTAAATGGCAGCAGACCTCTTGCTTGTCTTCCACAGTTGTCTGGATTTGGATTAGCTCTCTTGTGTATGTTAGAGAAGCTTCTGGCCTATCGTCATCTGTGATCTGTTGGCAAATAATTCTCTTAGCTTTGCTCCTGTACGAATTCTAATTTTCTGAGACCAGTATTGGAAGAGACTATCCTTGGCATGTATTTTTGGACAACAGTCACCATGCTGGTTCTGACTGTGGGAGGAAACCTTGAGGAGGTGTCGTTGTCTTGTTGTTCTCTTCACCCTTGCCCATCCTGCCTGTTTAAAACCATGCAGTCCTCTCTTCTCAATATTTTCAATTCTTACTGTACTTGAAATTATATTTTATATCTATTTTTGATGCATTTCATTATATGAAATTAATTATATAATACATATAAATTCGTATTTTACGGCCTTATAGTTTTATTGCATTATTTACCTTACTGTTCTTTTTAATCTGTTATACTGTATTGTGATGGCAACCCTCTTACAGAGTTGCAACATGTGCCATTAGTAGTGATACCATCAGCAGGTAGATGATCTGATTTAATTTTGAGTGGGCAGCCTCTCTTGGAAGGGTCTTGCACTCCCTCTGAACTCTGAACTAGGTTCCTGGTTTGGAGATATTTCTTGATTCCATCTTCTTGTTAGAAGTTTAAGGCTGCAGCTTGTTTGCCAAGTTTGTCTCCTGTAGCAAGTTAATAAAATGTCCAAATTTTGAACGGTGAAGTGGTATCTTCAGAATGGTGCACAGTTGTTTTGGAGCAGCTTCTGAACATTTAAGAAGTCTCTGAAATAAAGACCAAATAGGACTGGAATGGAATTATGTAAAAACATGATTTAAATGGGGGTAATACACAGTGATAGGAATGGGGAAAAACATCACACAACTGTGAATATTGTCAAGCTTCAAACATCTAGATTGGTACTCACTCTGAAATGGTGCTGTGACAATATCAAGAAACAATGTATGCCATATATTTAGTAACTCTTCGTTTTCATTTAGGAATATTCAGCAACTATAAATATTGCACAATTGGAGCTTGAGGACAAAGACAAGATTCAGCCTTTCAGAGTATCAAAAGCACAGAAGAGGCGGGTAAGAATCTTCTACCATGTTTCCCCGAAAAGTAAGACAGGGTCTTACATTAATTTTTGCTCCAAAAAAACGCATTCAGGCTTATTTTCAAGGGATGTTTTATTTTACAGTCATGTCATCTTCTGGTTGCTGCACAATGGTGGAGGGTGGGGTTTCACTTAACTAGGGCTTATTTTTTGGGGGGTAGGGCTTATATTACGAGCATCCTGAAAAATCATACTAGGGCTTATTTTCAGGTTAGGTCTTATTTTCAGGGAAACAGGGTAGTTGTACTGTCAAGCACTAGATGTGAACTTAAATGTGAAATCTCATGTCTGCAGAAGGGAGGCTGGCATCTGGGTCCACCTCTGCGGCTCAAACAGAAATGTCATCAGAGAGTTCAGGTAGAAAGGATGGGGTTATGTCCTCCCTATGTCTATGTATAGTATCCCTTCAATCTTTTCTAGACATCTTTGGATCTACTGTATTCATTACACACCACCAATACTCTACGGCTAACTACATTGTACTGTACTGACCTGGATTTCCTGTAATTTTCATGTGGATCTTTTGCTAGTGTGGCTGTTCGTGGAAGGCAGCAAGATTCAGCAGAGGTTCCCTCCCAGATAAAGGGTATCATTATCAGTATGTTCTTTCTGCATGGTCTCTTCGTGCTCCTGAGAATCTCCCTGCCTTTCAGAGCAGCTGCAGGGGAAAAAGAAATTGCAAATATCACTCCTTCCCTTTCTCGACTCCAGTTTTTACGTTCTTCATGAATTACCTAGGAGAATGCTGTTTTGTTTTTTTGAGCCAATATTATTTGGTGGG